TCCTAACTGTATGGGACTGAGCAGTAGGTGTCACACTAGAGTGCTGTCTGGCCCCAGGATACTTATACCCAAGGATTAAAAAACTCCTTGCTGCTGAGAGCCAGTGTGGTGTAGTGGTTAAGTGCGCGGATTCTAATATGGGAGAACCAGGTTTGATTCTCCACTCCTCCACTTGCAGCTGCTGGATGACCTTGGGCAAGCCGTAGTTCTGACAAGAGCTGTCCTTGAAAGGGTAGCTCTTGAAAGAGCCCTCTCAGCCCCACCCACCTCACAGGGTGTCTGTTGTGGGGAAGGGAATGGAAAGGAGTTTGTAAGCCGCTCTGAGACTCCGAGTGAAGGGCGGGGTATAAATCCAATCTCTCCTTCTTCTTGTGTGTAAGTGAGAGCTTTTGTGAAGGAGGGTTGCGTTGTGCTTTTGGCAGAGCTGCTAAGAGACACCCTGTGACCCAGGCATTGATCCCACACACACACACTACCCAGACCCACCCAAACATAATATGAAGAAGTCATGGCTTTTCCAAGCATGTGGGTCCCCCACCCCTCAAAGTTTTGTCCATCTAGTCAGGAGCCCTGATTTTTTGTGTATGATAGGCAACCCCCCCCCAAAAAAAAACCCAACAACAACATGGCTTGTCATGGAGACTAGGGCTGAGAGTTGTGGTTTGGTAAGGGAGGAATGTTTAAGGTCATATTCTGGAAAAAAGAGAACAGGTGCAAACCAGTGAGCCTGGGGGAATCCTTTGGCGGGTGACGTCTCTCACCTTCATGTGCTAAAATTCAAGAGTTTCTGGATTCACGACAAACCATAGTTTGCTGTCATATCCAAACTTCAAATGGTGTGTTATATCCTTCCTTTCAAATCCAGATTAAACCACAGTTTGGAATCCTATTTGGCAAGAAGAATGCAAACCCTGGTTTGTGACTTGGATGCAGCAACAAACTACGGTTTGATGTGGATTTCAGAAGTCTCATCTTTTGGAAGCCTGTTAACTGCATGCAAAGAGAGGGGAAGGGGAAAAGGGAGCATACATAGTGCCAAATGTCCCTCCGGCTTATTCCCATAATGACTAGGCCGTAGTTTGTCTGACGTGTTGGAGCTATGCTTATTTCTCGAATCAGAATCGGTTTCGAAAGAGTGTCGGATTCTGCTTCTGAAGCTTCCTGTTTGTCCATGGGGACTTCAGAGAGCTGAAAGCATCGCCACTTTTTCACATGCGAGCTGGTGGACCTCCTGATGGCACCTGGTATTTCTGGCCACTGTGTGACACTGTGTGACAGAGTGTTGGACTGGATGGGCCATTGGCCTGATCCAACATTGGCTTCTCTTGTGTCCCTATGTCTTGATTTTGTATGTGCATTTCAAAATGTAGGCTTGGATCCTTCGTAGCACAAGCAGAGAGACACTGATGGAGAAGAATTTTCTTGCCTCCTCCCTTCCGTTGCTCTACCCTCCCAACACTGTATCCCCAGGGGTAGGTGGATACCCAAGAACCACGTACAAGGAACAAGTATTGGACTACGGAGGGGAAGGGTGGGAAACCCCCTTTTCTGTCAGCATAGGAGCCAAGCCAAGATTGGGTTTCTCTCGCGTACTGTAGAAAACGGAAGGATCTGAAGGAGGAAAGAGGGTATCATGGCCGTACACTACTAGAAGAAGAAGAAGGGATTGGATTTATACCCCGCCTTTCACTACCCGAAGGTGTCTCAGAGCGGCTTACAAACTCCTTTCCCTTCCCCTCCCCACAACAGACACACCCTGTGAGGGAGGTGGGGCTGAGAGAGCTCTTGACAGAAACTGCTCTTTTTCAAGGACAGCTCATCAGAACTATGGCTTGCCCAAGGTCATCCAGCAGGTGCAAGTGGAGGAGTGGGGAATCAAACTCGGTTCTCCCAGATTAGAGTCCGCGCACTTTACCACCACACCAAACTGGCTCTCTGTAAATATTTTGATGTAATAATTCAGAGCAAGAGGTGTCAGTTATCAGACACTGTGAAATGAACAAAACGCACTTAAGCACTACACCAAACTGGCTCTCAAACATTACGCAGCAATTGTAATCACCTGATACCGTCTTCTGCAGTTATTAGCTTTAAAGGGTGTAAGGGCCTCTAAAATCTTTTACAACCTTATCTAAGAAACATTTATTCAAGATTTTTCTTCTTCTGTTTTGCCGGTGGAAAATTTGAAGAAGCCCGGGGGTGGGGAGCAATGCTCCCTCTAAGCTGTGGAGTCCTGTGAGCAAAAATTCTACTTTGAGAGCTACTTGCATTAAAATTGTGAGTGAGCAATTTGGCTACTGCATAAATAAATTTGTTCTGGAGCCACCCTTCCTGAGCTAAGACAAAAATGTGTGAGCCTGAAATACACTGAGTTCGAGACACGTATAGTGATCAGCTCATAGTTTATTAGTGATTTCAGCTTAACTCTAAGACAACTCTAGCAGGGCTGGAGCCCTGCTTATATACATGCAAAACACCCCACTCCCCATGATAGGCTATTTACGAAACACTACTACTTGACTGGTTTATTCCAGAGTCCTGGTCGGCTATTGTTCTTTTGCTCCAAGCTTAGCCAGTCTCTAGGGTGATTCTATCAGGGATGCTTCAATCCTGATACATAACCGAGCCAGAGGCTAAAAAACTGTGAGCTAGCTCACACTAACTCAGCTTAAAGGGAATACTGGTGGTGGGGGGGAAAGACTAAAAGTCCTGGGTTTTTCCCCCCGCTAACCTTCACATCTCTCTCCCAGAGAGCCGCATTGGTGGAGACGGGTGAGTGAGAGGACATTGGTCAGGTGGTGATGTCGGGTGAGAGGAGGCCAGGGCCCCATGCCACCCCTCCCAATTGGCTGGCTGTGCTACCGAATCAAACCTAGACAGTCTGTCTTGGCTCTGGAAATGATGGCACGTTTGAGTTTGACTTGAGAATGATGTCACTGTTTCCCTAGCTCTGTTTGGTGTAGTGGTTAGGAGCATGGACTCTAATCTGGGAGAACCAGGCTTGATTCCCCACTCCTCCACATGAAGAAGAAGAAGAAGAGATTGGATTTATCCCCCGCGCTTCACTACCCAAAGGAGTCTCAAACTGGCTTACAAACTCCTTTCCCTTCCCCTCCCCGCAACAGACACCTGGTTGGGGCGGAGAGAGCTCTTTCGAGAAGTGCTCTTGACAGAACAGCTCTGAATGAACTTGTAAGAGAAGACGACGAGATTGGATTTCTATCCCGCCCTTCACTCAGAGTCTAGGAGCGACTTACAAACTCCTTTCCCTTCCCCTCCCCGCAACAGACACCTGGTTGGGGCGGAGAGAGCTCTTTCGAGAAGTGCTCTTGACAGAACAGCTCTGAATGAACTTGTAAGCGAAGAAGACGAGATTGGATTTCTATCTCGCCCTTCACTCAGAGTCTAGGAGCGGCTTACAAACTCCTTTCCCTTCCCTTCCCCACAACAAACACCCTGTGAGGTAGGTGGGGCTGAGAGAGCTCTCTCGAGAACTGCCCTTGAGAGAACAGCTCTGACAAGAACTACGGCTTGCCCAGGGTCATCCAGCAGCTGCAAGTGGAGGAGTGGGGAATCAAACCCGGTTCTCCCAGATTAGAGTCCGCGCATTACACCAAACTGCTCTCACACAAAACTGGCTCAGGGTCACACCAGCAGCTGCACGTGGGGGAGTGGGGAATCAAACCCAGATCTGCAGCTGTTGGTGTGACCTTGGGTCAGTCATAAGTTCTTTCAGAGCTGTTCTCTCAAGGGCAGTTCTCAGAAGTGCTCTCTCACCCCCACCTACCTCACAGGGTGTCTGTTGTGGGGCGGGGAAGGGAAAGGAAATTGTAAGCTGCTCCTGGACTCTGAGTGAAGGGCTCTTTCAGGTAATGAAGGGTAGGGTAAAAATCCAATCTCTTCTTCTTCCGTGTGTATATGTATATGCATGAATGCTGGGATGAGAGCTAGAAATTTTTTTTATTTCATAGCCCAAATTTTTACGTGACAGCGTAGCAGAGACCTAAAAATGCTTAACATTCCTAGTCATTGGAATGAAGTTCTTGCTAACCTCCGATGGATGCCGATGGTGACTTGTTGTCTTTCATTCTTAAAGCTGCTAAATGAACACATTTCTGATGCGCAGGCGATGTCTCCAGTTTTCATTTTTAAAGCCTGATGAGCTGATCCTTATTCAAATTCCCTTTTTGTTACAGATGGCCGAACAGATCCAATGTTGGAGGATGTTGGGGATGCCTTCAAGCTTATGGGGGTCAACCTGCACGAACTGGAAGACTACATCCTCAATATCGAGCCGGTCACTTTTGCGCATCAAATCCCCTCATTCCCCGTCAGCAAGAACAACGTCTTGCAGTTCCCCCAGCCCGGAAGCAAAGATGCGGAAGAGAGGAAAGAGTACATTCCCGATTACATGCCGCCCATCGTCTCTTCTCAAGAAGGTGAGAAATTAAATCTCTTCTCTGCTTTCATTCCTGCCTTTCTGAGCATGGCTTACGCGCGTTTGCTTCAGGTAGCCCAGGCGCTGCTGCCTGAAATGGCAGTTCTTCGTCGTTCGACCAGATGCAAGGTTGAAGTTGGTCCTCGGGATGTACTACTTCTGCGTGACTTCCCAGCAATTTGTGAGGAATTAAGCGTTGTACTCATGCACGAAGTGGGGATGGATGCAGGGGCCAAGGCCGCTTTGCTGTCCAGATCCACCAAGGGAGTGCCGTCTGCTTCTGTGATATTACCCAAGTGTAAATGGTCCAGGATCTAACAAATTGGATATGTCGGACAAGGGAAAAATGAATGTGATTTCTGAATGTGGGTTCTGACATTTCCTCTGACATGTTTATATGCTGACAGCGGTCACTGTGCCTTTAAGAGTTTAATTATAATAGATCCAGATCTTGGTATATAACCTGGAATCCTTTGATTAGAGAAACTTATAGCAGAATATATATTTTATAACTGCATTTATTAAGGAATAAGTAACTGTCCATATTAAGGAAAAGCATTATTAGAGGCCTCTGGGGATAGAATTAGGATGCAATAAGAATGGAATGCGTATTCACGAAGCTGCAAGGACGTCGAGAGCGAAGTTGAAATGTGAATCACAACCTTTATCACCCAGCTCCCCAGAAACAAGGGAAAAAGGGACTAGCTTCACTAAGGTCAGAAAAAATCTCAGTGTTCACTAATGTTTCCATTGCCCTGAAGAGCAGATAAGTAAATACAATCCCTGACATACATGACCAGTATAAGGAGAGACCAATAGTAAGGTTTAAAGTCAAATGATGCTTGTATGATGTTAACTGCTTGGTACCAATGAGCGATTCTTTAATGTGATGTCATTCGGGGTATAAGACCTTCTGCCCTTCCTGGGTATGGCAGAATACAGCTTTGGAATGGCTGAGGTGCAAAGGCGCTCAGCCCCCCGTATTCCCTTTTTCAGTGCATTAAACAGATATCCATCTAACTCGTTGGACTCCGACTGTGTGTTTCCAATTTGGCAATGGGAGCACGCAGGCAGATTCGTGTATTAGAAATGTATTTATTTTAAAGCATGTGCGTCGGCATGGACATGCCATCCCGGTCCACCTGCAGTACAGGAGCCCGGGACGGGCTGGGCGAGGGGTACAGCTCCATCCGTCCCTGGGAAGCTATGACCGAGAGGCAGTTATCTCTTTTACCTGTTCTGGTAAAAGGATGCTATGGAATTCAGCAGAGCCCTACAGTTGGCCAATCAGGTTGGTGCTTACATTTGTGAAGCGAGTGTGTAAATGGCCTAGTCACAAGTGGCGAGTAGGGGATTTCCTGTAGGTGATCAGGTGGGACAGCTTTTTGGTATAACACAGAGTCCAGTTTGGTGTAGTGGTTAAGTGTACGGACTCTAATCTGGGAGAACCGGGTTTGATTCCCCACTCCTCCACTTGCACCTGCTGATGTGTCCTTGGGTCAGTCACAAGCTCTGGCACAGCTGTCCTTGAAAAAGAGCAGTTTCTGTCAGAGTTCTCTCAGCCCCACCAACCTCACAGGGTGTCTGTTGTGGGGAGGGGAAGGGAAAGGAGTTTGTAAGCCGCTCTGAGACTCCAAGTGAAGAGCGGGGTATAAATCCAATCTCTTCTTCTTCTTCTTCCTGTGTGTGTGTTCTGCTTTCCTTTCAGAGTGCAACTATACTGCAGTTATCACTGCTCCAACTCCAACCAGTTTTGTGCTAGAAAAATGAAGAATTCTCTGCTTTCCCCTTCCTTTAGTAGCCCCCTTTTATTGCCCTCAAAGGGTATGTTGGGGATTAGGGGATCCATGTGGGACAGAAAGCTTCAGTGAGGAAGGAGTGTGGGTGGGATTTCCTTTCCTTCCTTTTTCACCAGTGGAAAAGCTGGTGGCATCCAGCCTATCACAGGCTGCTGCAGGGGTAATCAGTTTTGTAGGCTAGTAACTTCCATAGATTTATTAGCAAGGCTTAATGACTTGTGCCTCAGAACCCACCAAAATAGATGCATAATGATATATTCGTGAATGGTGCAAAGAACTGGGGAGGGACAAAGTCTGGATTTTCCATCTACTGCCTTAATCATCAGAACATAAGAGCCCTGCTGGGTCAGACCAATAGTGCGACTGCACTTGAATCTAGCTGCTAAAGTATGGCAACCTTTACATCTTTTAATGACTGTTGAAGGAGGTCGAAATGCTCCTCCCCGGTTTCTGAGCGGTTCCATTTTCAAGGTCTGATTTGTCTCCATTTATTCTTGCGAAGAGATTGTGCAGCTTGGTCACTGTAAATGGCAGACTAGAATTCTGGGCACACAAGGAGAGATGTGCCGTTGAATGGGTAGTGTACAGGTGGCACTTAAGAACACAAGAAGAGCCCTGCTTGATCAGACCAGTGGTCCATCCAGTCCAGCATCCTAAGAGCATCAGAAGAGCCCTGCTGGGTCAGACCAGTGGTCCATCTAGTCCAGCATCCTAAGAACAGAAGAAGAGCCCTGCTGGATCAGACCAGTGGTCCATCTAGTTCAGCATCCTAAGAGCCCCGCTGGATCAGACCAGTGGTCCATCTAGTCCAGCATCCTAAGAACACAAGAAGAGCCCTGCTGGATCAGACCAGAGGTCCATCTAGTCCAGCATCCTAAGAGCATCAGAAGAGCCCTGCTGGGTCAGACCAGTGGTCCATCTAGTCCAGCATCCTAAGAGCATCAGAAGAGCCCTGCTGGATCAGACCAGAGGTCCATCTAGTCCAGCATCCTAAGAACACAAGAAGTGCCCTGTGGGATCAGACCAGGGGTCCATCTCGTCCAGCATCCTGTCTCACACAATGGCCAGCCAGTTCCTCTGGAGGGCCAACAACAGGGCAGAGGCCGAGGCCTTCCCCTGATATTATGTTCCTATGATATTCTCCCCCCCCCCATATTGTTCCAATAATAATCATGTTTATGAGAAGATAAGAGTCAATGAAAATGCCAGTAATGCTACGAAAAGAGGAAGACCCAACTTGGCATGGACTGACTCCATCATGGACCCTAAGTTTGCAAGACCTGAGCAAGGCTGTTAATGACAAGACGTTTTGGAGATCATTAATTCAGAGGGTCACCACAAGTCGGAAGCGACTCAGTGGCATCTCTCTCTCTCTCTCTCTCTCTCTCTCTCACACACACACACACACACACACACACACTCACACACACACACACACCGTAATATATTCTCACAGGTGCTGAGAAGTGATGTTTTCAGTCATATTGCTTGCAGAGTATTAGTGAATGTACTTCTGTGCAATACACAGCAGGGCCAGTAGGTGTCGCTGTACCACTTTGCAAAAACCTGGAGCCAGTTTTTAACACACTCTGAGCTAGTTTTGAAAGCACAGAAGCATCATATCAGACCTTCAAAGAAGTTACTGTATTTGGGATGTAGAATTATTTTCTTGCTTGCCATTTTGCATTAATAGAGCAACTCCATAAACGGGGACAGGCGAATTCCTGAATTAATAGACCCTATCAGGGGATTTTGCATTAATAGACAGACTCCATATCTGGGGACAGGCGGATCCCTGAATGGAGATACATCTTGCTTTGTATAACCTGGATTAGACAGCTTGTTCAATTCAGTAGAGAACTGCAGGTAAACCGGTCACTTGGGTGTGTGTAATTATCACGATGGGTTTATGACACTGCTTGACAAAATATAGCTGGTAGACGTATTTCGTGCCGAGTGGACCATGTTTTAGAGCACTTAGTAATAACGAAGGGCCGTCAGGTCTCAACCAACTTATGACAAGCCCTCATGGGGTTTTCAAGGCAAGAGACTAACGGGAGGGGTTTGCCATTGCCTCCTTCTGCATAGCAACGCTGGTCTTCCTTGGTGGTCTCCCATCCAAGTATTGGGCATGGCTGACCATGCTTAGCTTCCAGGGTCTGACAAGCTTAGGCTAGTCTGGGCTATTTGGGATGCTAGGCCAGGGGTGTCGAACTCATTTGTTCTGATGGCCGGATATGACATAAATTTGACCTTGTTGGGCCGGGCCATGTGTGTCATAAAAGGTAATGCCGGGTAGCGGAGATATAAACTTTACAAAGGGCACAAACACAAAGGGTGGTTTTTTTTTACTTAAAAACATGCTTAAAACATTAGCGCACTCTGCAATATTTTGTTTATTTAACAGTGTCTGATAACTGACACCCCTTGCTCTGAATCGTTGCATCAAACTGTCTGTGCTGTTGCACTCTTGAGTATGCTGTTCAGGTGTGTATCTGTCAGCTGCAAGCCTACGATGACGCTGCAACAGCAGAACTGGAAGAAGAAGCAGAAGACAGCCAGTTCCACTGCGGGCCTGATAGAAGCCCCCTGGGGGCCTAATCTGGCCCCTGGGCCGCATATTTGACACCCCTGCTTTAGAGCACTTATGGGGGGGTCATGATACATGAAGTGAGCATCCGGTGGGAGTGCAGGTCTGGAAGGCCAGGGTGGCATGGAAGTTTGGGTGTATGACTAGGGCCTGGCAGAGCTGGGTTTCAGTCTTTAAAGAGCAGCTGGACAAACTCTTGTCAGGGATGCTCTAGGCAGATCCTGCATTAAGCAGGAGGTTGGACTAGATGGCCCGTATGGACCCTTCCGACTCCGGGATTCTCTGATTCTACAATTCCAGTTAGCCATGAAGCGCTGTATGTCACATTCTCTCAGCCTGCCCTACCCAGGACCACTGTGAGGGTCACATGGAGGAGGAGAGAATCATGTGACCATCCCAGGCACCTTTGAGAAAGGAGATAGAAATTGATTTACCGATCTGTCAAAAATTGCACTTTTTGCCATTTTGCAGTCTGCGCAGCTTATACAGAAAGAGAGACAAAACCCTGGCTGACTGAATCCCATTGGTCTGTTACCGACTGACCCTCCCCAGCCATTGGCTGAACTTCTGTGATGTTGCAGAATCCCAGAGGGAGAGGCTGAGACGGTGCAA